AAAAAATTCCTCCAACACATAGATATACATCTATCTTGTTATGTATCACGTGATTATGGACAAAAGGTTGTTGTTTTTTGGGGGGCTTCTTTTTTTATTCTTTTTTATTTGCCCCCAAGGTGTATATGTTTATTACTTAGCATTACACCTCTTCATTTGAATAATTTGTTATCTCGGAGATATTAAAGGGCAAAGTTGTCCATTTGGGAAAAACGCGTTTGTAAAGATCCATGCATACAAGGTCGTGTTGCATGACTTGATCATTAAGAGCGGCTTTAAATAACCCATGAGTTCCCACAGCTTTGGTTATCTTGCCTCGCCTTCCCATACGAGTATGCAAATCCACAGGCTGAAACCACCGCACATCTTCTTCGTTAAAGAACATGTACTTCACCACAATTTGCTTCTTGTGGATCGTCGCCACACGGCCAGTCAATACCGCGCGCTTTAAAATCAAAAGATCCGGATTCGGCGGTAACGCGCCACCAAAGCATGCTAACCGTAGAGAATCTCCGGACTCCTGTTCCTCCAAGGAAGGTACCTCAAACAAAAGAATCGGACATGGTTGATATGAAATTGGTCCAAAAAATGAGGCCAGGCGAAAATTCTCAGAAGGATGGAAAAAACGCGCGAATTTGGTGCGATCAGATGCCGTAATATCGCTAAACAAAGGAGACACGTAAAACTTCCGGAATCCAATGTGCGCCAACATGGGGGTCTTTGACTTGATTGGCTCTTCCCATTCTGCATTTTTTTGAACCTGAAAATGTAGTACAGACCACTTTTGTTCGTGTTCCAACTGGCCCGAGGCGATAATATAGCCACTAGTCATGGCGTTTTCCCAGACCTCTTTTGAAACCCCTACAAGAGTAATGTAAACAAATTGATCAATACCAACAGGACCCTCAGCGCATTTCGCTAAAGCGGCCTTACGAATCCGTGTAATACCTTGCAGCTTGTATATGTAAGCGTAATGTGGTGGAAGATTCTCTGTAGGGTCCCATTTACCCGTTGGAAAACTTTTTAGGCCACGGTATTTTGCAAATCGTTGTCTAGCGGGCAAATTCAAAGGTGTATCGACCATGTCAGGATTCCATGCATCTTCTTCGCCTTCTTCACGAATTCTTTGAATTTCTGCCGCGCGCTCATCATCTGTCATGCGCTCCAAGCGAATAATATCTTCCAATTTAAGAAAATCCACGTCTGTTTTTGAGGTTCGATGTGACAAGAATTCCGCACCAGCAAATGCGTCTTCTTCTCCCACTGAAGTAATTGGCATGGGGGCTTCGTCGGCAACCTCATTTTCTTCAAGGTCATACCACGCTGCCTGATAGTCTGATACTCCTTCAGGAACCTTAATCTTTTTTGCGCCCAATGCGTGGTGATAAGCCAAATCCTCTTCTGTGGGTCCTTCAGTATCTTCAAGCGTCGCATTAGCTTGAACATGCTCTAGTGACTCTCGCTGCTCCACCTCAGAGAAATCCGCATACTGGGGATCCCCAGCGGTTGGTTCATTGAAAGCAATACTCTCAATTTGGTACGTTCCGTGATTAGTGAGATGGATTAGTTGTTTAGCAGAAAGCGGCATCCCTCTTAAATAACCTCCAATTATTAACTTCTGAGTATCACTAAAGTATCTGCCTTGTTCAACCACCAAGTAGGGATGTTGCTCACGCCACAACAAAGGACGCAGCTTGGTAACTTGTAGATGGCGCAACAATGCGTCATACTCGTGACCCTCGATAATAGCAAAGGTCTTTGTCGTATCTGGAAGAACGGAAGTAAAGTAACGTTGATGCACTCGCAAAACCTTTTGACGTTGTTTTTCAGTGAAAGTGTCCAAATTTTGTAAAACCACCGCAATGCTCGGTACGCCTTGCGCATTTAGGGCAGTAACTACACTCCTTGTAAAGTCGGTAATGCATAAGCCAATATCTCCAAACCACGTCGTCCCACTAACCATGGAGCAACCCTCATCATCGTCAATAGCGGGGGCGTCCTGCAATTCTCGTATCGTCTGTTGAACTGATTGAGAGGCGTCCAACGTGAGAATCAAAAAATCGGCAACCTTCGCAACATCAATACAATCCTGATCATTATATTGGGTTTCCCACATAAATGTGAAACTCATCTTTTTTTCTTTAGACGCCAGAGTAAATGGAAAGCATGTGTCGGGTTTAGCACCGCCCATAGCCTGGCACATGCCCTGAATAACCAAATCCGTATTTCCGGATTCATTTGCAGGAATCACCCCGATCACTCGTGGAACACCAGCGGAGCTTCCCATTCGCTTCTTTTGAAGAGCCAAGGCAGATCTTTTACGCTGCGATGCCACATTTTGCCGAAGACGCTCCTTCAAGTCCACAGTACGAAATGTCTTTGCACCCATGGCGTGTGAATTGACGGAGCGTCCCTGGGCCTTCCCAGAAAGTGCATGTTTGGAGCTAAAACGCTGTTTGTGGGACTTGTTGCGCGCCATCCCAACCCGAATAGAGATACCTCCAAAAGATCAGAGGAGCAAAAAAATCTGTTTCACGGGGTTCTTTCTTGAGGTTGCCAAGCAGGAAAAAGAGAAAGGATGAAAAAAAACGAATTGGTTTGATAAAGAAAATTCGCCTTTCGGATTACCACCTCCTCACTGTATATGCAAAGCAGGCAAAAAAAAAAGACATGGAGAAAATGAACATGAGAGACTCAAAGGTAATCATTTGTACGATATTCAAACATCAGAATAATTTAACGATAAGGGCCGTCGTTTCGCTTTTTAAAACCATTCAATTAGACCGGTAGTCACTTGGAGAGGGCTCATTATTTACGTCTTACAAAAATATGAAACAGGTCATGACCATCAAAACAGTCAAAAAAAAATATAGATATATATATATGGGCATTACAGCCAAAATGAAAAAAAATGTTCATAGGAAAAACAAGTTGCTATGAAAAGTTAGCGGAATCGGAACCACATAGAATAGGTGCTACGAATTCCCTCCAACTCCAAAAAGTGATATCCGGTCCTAATTCGGCCTATTGATGTACACACTTCTTTCTCTAGGCCTTTCATTTCGTATTATTCAGTATGTTATCCATATGCTAATTAATTAATTATTTTTTTTTTGTATAAATGAGGAAGGAAACTCTGCATTCCCAGAAGAGGAAGTTGAACATACGCCACCAATGTACGATCAATAAGCGTAAAAAAAAAAGTGTATGCATATACAGATGAGATCAAGAGAAGACATAGGGGGCCGCAGAATCATAATTCGAAAGGGAAATCTAATTTTACTACGTATATCCCTTCTGTCCGTCCAAGAAGGAACACAATCGAAAAGACCTCCCACATACGCACTCAAAACAGTCTGGCTTTGAAAGGAGCTTGGGAAGGCAGGACGCCAATTTTTTTAAAAAAGCCAAAAAAATATCCGCCAGTTGTAGATGGGCCAACTCAACGCAAAATTATACAAAATAAATGGCACATTTCACGAATTCTGCTTCTCTGCGACGTCACAGGTAGTCTCTACACAGGCATCGCGAGCTCTCAACGACAGCCCGTCCCGGAAAAAGTCACCTGATAATGCGCTTTTCATTCTCGCTTTCAAGACTGTCGTTCGCAATTTTATTTACTTCGGTGATAAAAGGAATGTATTGCAAAATAACTGCATTGAGTTGCGGAGAGACTTCCTTGCGCAATAGAACCACAAACCAAGCACCCTTGAAAGTAAGTGCACCGGCTCGGGGCCTAGTCTCGAGTGTGAATGCAACACTGGCCAATACCTCGCGACGGCAACGATAAGACATCACACCCCACTCTCCCTGCGGCTGTGCCTTCCACCGCATACCTCACAGAGTATCCCTCCAAAACCTTGCCCACGTGCCACCGAGCACGCCAAAAGGAACAAAACAAACGAAACCGATATCCACCGTGTATAAAGAAGGCGGACGCCGAACATAGCGGACCCGACACCACCGCCTTGCGCCACATGCATCGCGACGCTCCAAACCGCGCCCCGTTGCGAAAATGACGGCGCGTGCATTCGAAAAGACGACTTCACAAGCAACGCGCCAACCGGAGAAGCTCGTCCAGGCGCGGTCCGGCACAGGCCTCCAACGAATCCACGCCGCGGCTAACAAACGAGAGAACCCCCGGCTTGTGCCGCACAGCTCCCCTCCACAACGCGCGCCCCATTCTTTATCGGAACCCCGCGCGCCCGCCGAACCCCACGCGCCACACCCACAACCCTCTCGATCGACGCCATTCTGCCAACGAACGTCGGCATTCGCGAAGCAACGCCCTCCTAGACGCCGGGGGCGAGAATCCAGGGGCCGCGGTCGCGTTGTTTCCTCCGGGCCCGCCCCGTCTGAGAGGTCGCACGGCCCGCAGCATTTGGGGGCGCAACTTTGGTGGTTCGGCGTTTGGCAAACGGGTTTTCGCGCGTGCCGCGGCGCCGCGGTGCTCGAGTGGAGGAGCCTGCCGGTGAAGCTGCCCTCGGGCGTGACGCTGCCGGAACCGGTGCGAGTCGATGGGTGGGCGGCCCGCTTCACGGCGGGCAGCGACGGCGCGTGGGCCACGCACGATGCGCAGGTTGGCGAGACAACAAATCGCCCCATCGCTTTTCGCGGACCCCGCGGGCGGCGCGGCCGGAAGAAGGCAGATTGGGCTGCGCATGGGCGCTGTGTTAGGAAGTATTCGCGCGCAGACGCGGGGAAATACGTGCCACCCGCCGCCGCATCAAATAAATCAGGCGCGTCCGGGCCGCCATTC